AGGCCGAGGCAGGCAGATCACAAGGTCAGGAGTTCGAGACCAGCTGGCCCAATATGGTGAAACCCCACTCCTAACTAAAAAATACAAAATTACATGGCGGTGGTGGCGTGCGCCCTGTAAGTCCCAGCTACCTCGGAAGCTGAGGCAAGGAGAATACTTGAACCGGGGAGGCGGAGGTTGCAAGTGAGCCAAGATTTGCTGCTGCACTCACAGCCTGGGCAACAAAAGCGACTCTGCTCTCAAAAAAAAAAAAGAGAGAGTCGGACGGTGCGCGGGGCTCACGCACTGTAATTCCAGCACTTTGGGAGGGCCGAGAACGGGCCCGGATCACGAGGTCAGAGAGATCAGAGACCAGCCTGGCCAACACGGTGAAACCCCTGTCCTCTATAAGAAATACAAAAATAGCTGGGCGAGGTGGCCGGGCGCCTGTAGTCCCAGCTACTCGGAAGGTCTGAGCCGAGAATGGCGTGACACCCGGAGCGGAGCTTGCCAGTGAAGCTGAGATCCCGGCCACTGCACGTCCAGCCTGGGTACAGAGCCGAACTCCGTCTCAAAAAAAAAAAAAAAAAAAAAAAAAAGAGTTTGCAGTGTTCTTATAGATAAGGAAGGGGCTATCAACAATGGGTCTGAAGCAGGAAAGTGACTTGGTCAGTTGTGGACTTTAGACAGCTTACTGAACTGGATGCGGCAGTGGATGGATTTAGGTAGGTTAAAATTGGTGTTGCAGAGAACTTTTAAAGTAACAGTAGTCCAGGTGAAAGATTATTGTAATCTGAACCATGGCAGTGGAGGTGTAAAGGTAGGACAGATTTAAGAAATATCTAGAAGTAGCATTAACAGGAATTTAGAATTGATTGTGTGATTGGAGATTGTGACCAGAGAGTGGACAGTATTGGATGGTGCTGTCTGGTGGAGCAGTAAGTATGAGTGACTTGAGTGGAGTGAAAGTTGTTGAATTTGAGAATTGATTAATGACTGTGTCATTGTTATTAACCATAGCCCATAATGATGGAGGAACTTTGTGAATCAAGTGCCAAACTATATAATGAATGTGGGGCTGTGATTGGTCATTGATAGGGGATTGGTAAATGACATCCATGAGGAAAGCTTAGAAGTTGGTATTGCCAAAGGCCAGGTACAGTGGCTCACACCTGTAATCCCAGCACTTTGGGAGGCCAAGGCGGGCGGATGACCTGAGGTCAGGAGTTCAAGACCAGCCTGGCCATCATGGTAAAACCCCGTGTCTACTAAAAATACAAAAATTCGCAAGACATAGTGGCGCTTGCCTGTAATCCCAGCTATTTGGGAGGCTGAGACACGAGAATCGCTTGAACCTGGGAGACAGAGGTTGCAGTGAGCCGAGATTGTGCCACTGCACTCCAGCCTGGGTGACACAGTGAGACTGCATCTCAAAAAAAAAAAAAAAAAAGTTGGTATTGCCAAATAGTATGACGATCAAGGGAGTACAAATGGCACAGAATTACAAGAATGCTTATTGTAGAAACGTAATAAATGTTATTTTAAATCCATGAGTTTTGGTAAATATTGATAAACTTTCTGAGCAGTTATCGTTTCTGGATGTGGTTGGACTGTAGGAAAAATGTGGAGGGATGATTCTGGGCTGCAAAGGCCCAAGGATGCTTGTATCTTTGAAATCTGTTTCACAACCATTTATGTAAGGGTTACCAAGTGATTCTGCATGTATTTTCTCATTGGATTCTTAACAACTCTGAGGTATAGATTCATTCATCCCTGTTTACAGATGACAGCACTGAGAATTTGGAGTTAAGTGACTTGCTTACGGTCACACAGCTACACAGCTTTTCAGTGAGAACAGTCAGAATTTAAACTAGTTCTTTTTTTTTTTTTTCAAGATGGGGGTCTCACTCTGTCACCCAGGCTACAGTGCAGGATTATAGCTCACTGCAGCCTTGAACTCCTGGCCTCAAGTGATCCTCCTGCCTCAGCCTCCTGAGTAGCTGGGACTACAGGCATGTACCACCAAGCCCAGCTAATTTTTTCTTTTTTGTAGGAACTGGGGTCTCCATATGTTGCCCAGGCTGATCTTGAACTCCTGGCCTCAAGCCTTCCTCCCACTTCAGCCTCCTGTGCAGCTGGGACTACAGGCGTGTACCACCAAGCCCAGCTAATTTTTTCTTTGTAGAAACAGGGGTCTCCATATGTTGCCCAGGCTGGTCTTGAATGTTTGGGCTCAAGTGATCCTCCTGCCTTGGCCTCCCAAAATGCTGGGATTACAGGTGTGAGCCCCTGTGCCCAGCCAGTGTTTATTTGTAAACAAACACTTTAAAAAATGTAATAAACATGTATAAAGCACTATACTGTGCCAGGCATTATTAGCGACTGGGAATATGGGAATGCCTAAGACTAGTTCCTGCCCTTGAGTATCTCATCGGTTCTTTCCCTGCCCTTTCAGTACAGTGTGGATTGCAGCTGCTGAGCAGGGATTCTGGAAAGCATTGCGTACCTGAGCCCCCAGCATGGCGGGCCTAAAGCGGCGGGCAAGCCAGGTGTGGCCAGAAGAGCATGGTGAGCAGGAACATGGGCTGTACAGCCTGCACCGCATGTTTGACATCGTGGGCACTCATCTGACACACAGAGATGTGCGCGTGCTTTCTTTCCTCTTTGTTGATGTCATTGATGACCACGAGCGTGGACTCATCCGAAATGGACGTGACTTCTTATTGGCACTGGAGCGCCAGGGCCGCTGTGATGAAAGTAACTTTCGCCAGGTGCTGCAGCTGCTGCGCATCATCACTCGCCACGACCTGCTGCCCTATGTCACCCTCAAGAGAAGACGGGCTGGTGAGGATGTATTAGGGGCTAGAATCAGGGAAGAGTTGTGGGAGGCCAGGAAGGAGCAGCATAGGCATCCAAAGGGGAAGACACATTGACCCTGGGGAGTACTTAGAGTAAGTTGTGAGGCCCATTGGGGGTTTGGACTGACAGAAGGGAAGGGTATATATTTTCCTGAATGATTACTTCTCCTCCTACAGTGTGCCCTGATCTTGTAGACAAATATCTGGAGGAGACATCAATTCGCTATGTGACCCCCAGAGCCCTCAGTGATCCAGAACCAAGGCCTCCCCAGCCCCCTAAAACAGGTGAGAAGACATTAACTCCCCCTACTTTCCATCATCAAGTAAAAGGACACTGATCCCATCACATTCTGGGCTTTGCCAGCTTAAATGAAAGGATGCTGTGCCCCACATCTTGCCCCATTAAAAAAAAAAAAAAATCAGGTGAGGTGTTGACGTTTCTCCTAGGTCCTGTATTTGCTCTCACATTATGTCTTTTCAAGTCACATTATTTCCACTGCTTTTAGTGCTAAGTCTAAATGATTCCTTCCTCATTCCAAGAGAAGTGTTTGAATTTCTGCCTTTACCCTACTGTGTTTTCTTCCCTTTTACTTTCTGGTCAGTGCCTCCCCACTATCCTGTGGTGTGCTGCCCCACTTCGGGTCCTCAGATGTGTAGCAAGCGGCCAGCCCGAGGGAGAGCCACACTTGGGAGCCAGCGAAAACGCCGGAAGTCAGTGACACCAGATCCCAAGGAAAAGCAGACATGTGGTGAGGAAGTTCAAGGGTTCCAGAGGTGGAGCAGACTTGAAGCAGAATATAAAGAACTGCTGGGACACTAGGCAGTTTATGCTATTCAGTGTGAGATTCACTTTGATTGCCATTGCAAAGTGAGGCTGAATGGTTTGGTGTCTGGTGGAAGAACTGCTCTTTGTGACTGTGGCAGGGTACATTTCAACTCTTCTTAGTTAATACTACATCACAGGGATGTTGTTATGACATCCTTATTGTAGGATGAACCAAGTCAAGATAGAGTATTAAAATGAACTTCTGTGCCTGGTAATTAGGAAACTATCTCCTATAAGCAAGTTGCTACCTGTGGGTAATGGGAACAGTGCTGACCTGGGCATGTCCAGTTTAAGGGAACCTCCTGCATTCAGGCAAGCGTTTCAGAGATACATAGAAATAGTCCTGGGGAAGAGGTAGAGAAGCTGTCAGGTGATATTCCCTACTTTTTTATTCTGCTGTGCTTTTCAGTTTTCAAGCTTGGGTTGTAAACTCATCCCTCACTGTAACCTCTTCTGCTCTCTATCTTCTGTTTCCAACAGACATCAGACTGCGGGTTCGGGCTGAGTACTGCCAGCATGAGACTGCTCTGCAGGGCAACGTCTTCTCTAACAAGCAGGACCCACTTGAGCGCCAGTTTGAGCGCTTTAACCAGGCTAACACCATCCTCAAGTCCCGGGACCTGGGCTCCATCATCTGTGACATCAAGTTCTCTGAGCTCACCTACCTCGACGCATTCTGGCGCGACTACATCAATGGCTCTTTATTAGAGGCACTTAAAGGTGTCTTCATCACAGACTCCCTCAAGCAAGCTGTGGGCCATGAAGCCATCAAGCTGCTGGTAAATGTAGACGAGGAGGACTATGAGCTGGGCCGACAGAAACTCCTGAGGAACTTGATGCTGCAAGCATTACCCTGACCTTTTCCCTCTTCTCACTTTGGGGACTGTTCCCATCACCCATCTCTGGAGCTTACACTGTTCTGGGGTTTGTTCTCTACCCTTCCAACCAATCACACCCCTGCCTTTTTTTTTTTTTTTTTTTAAGAAAAAGACGAAAGTGGAAGTGGTGTTCCCCTCCCCTCCCTGCACCCATGTGCCTGGGCTTCCCCTTTGTTTCCCTTTTCCATTTACCCCCTAATGTGTGTCTCTACAGCTACCTTACCACTGAGCCATAAGACAAATGTATAGGGAGAAGCGAAGTCTACAGCACATAGTCTTTGTAAGGGATTGATGTGAACACTGCTTTTGGGTGCACTAAGGAGTTATCAATACTTCTGGCTTTATGAGAGCTCTTAAATGTTGTCTAAAAAAACCAAAGGGCTGTGAGTAAGGGAGCTGTGTGGAAGGTGGGACTCTGAAGTGTATTTTGAAAATTAATCGCCACCCTCTTCCAAATTATAGAATTTTTTAAAAACAAAGAAGCTGTGACCCTTTCCACTCTCTCCTGGCCTCTGGTGCTGCTCCTCTCTGCCGCCTTTCCTCCATTCCGTGGCTTGAAACCTCTGCCTGATGTGGCTCCTTCCTTTTACCCATTTGTCAAACCCTCTTCAACGGAGGAACAGATAAGAAGACTGGGTCAGCTGAGTCACGCCTCCCAATTGTGGTGGTATATGTGTACACACATAGACAGGGTGGATGGAGAAGAGGTTGCTGATTAAAATACACTCCCCCTATAAAGGGGAAGGGGGAGTGTGACACTTTCTTTCCATGTTCAAGTGAAAATAAATCATGTACCCTGCAGCCCTTTTCCCCTTTGCTTTCTTCTGGCTTGGGCAAAGGGCATCATAGGTGAAAGTGAAGTAATTCCTTTTTCCTTCCCCCTCCTCCACTCCTACGCCCACTCCCATGCTTGGGAGAATGGGGCTGGGACATGCACTGAGTGTTGCACTTTTATTTATGTAGGGACGCATGTTGAATGAGCCAGGTCTAGAACTGGAGCTTAGTCCAGCTGGTACAATACCAACTCCCCTTCTAGTTCCCAAAGGCGATGTCCAGACATAGACTGTATGATTATTATATTTTTCAATGCCAGTGCTGCTCAGCCCTCAGCAGAACTTCAGTTTTCATGAAATAAACAATGACTATATAAAATGCCACCTTTCTGAAACTGCAATCTGACCTCAGGTGAAGCTCAGGTGAAAGTTTCTTTCCTAAGAAGCCAAGCCTGTGTTCCATCAAGAGAGTCAAGGTTCTCCAAGTGAGGGGAGCTGTGCCTGGGTCCTGCCTCCAAGTAACATGAGCACCAGCTCACAATGGCGGGGTGGGGGCTGGTGGGGGCGGGTCTGAATTCACAGAAGTCCTTAAGACAGTGGGTGACCCAGATTGCCATAGAGGTCAGGCCTGCGGTGCTGGAACACAGGCAGGTGTTGACGCAACTGTCGCAGATAGCTGAGGTCTATTCGGGCAAGGCAGAGGCCTGGCCCCTCAGAGCAGCGGGCCACCACTGTTCCCCAGGGGTCTACCACCATGCTGTGGCCATAACTTGCTCTCTTCTCGTGGTGGCGTCCACACTGTGCCGCTGCCACGACATAGCACTGGGTTTCGATAGCACGGGCCCGCAGCAACACCTGGGGATGAAATGTGTGTTCACATAAGTACATGTAGCAAATAGTGGGGAAGTGACAGTTGAGGGACATTACAGACCAGTCTACCCATTGTGACTATTCTGATAATTGCCTGGGAATGATTTACTATTTTAACTATTCTGTAACATGAGAATTATCTGGGGAATGAGTTTCCCCACTAGGTGGAAAGGGGAAGGAATTTAACTGGTAGGGCCAAGCAGGGAGGATAAGGTTAAAAGGCCCTTATGTTTCAAAAACGTGTTGTCTTACCTCCCAGTGGGCTGGGCCTGTAACCGATCCAAAAGCTGAAGGATAGGTAAGTATCTCTGCTCCAGCTTGAGCCAATGCCAGAGAGAGTTCAGGGAACCGCATGTCATAGCAGACAGCTAGACCAACCTGGAATGAAAAACAGCCTACTTAGTAGTCTTCCTGCTCTGTTTGTCACAGCAACTAGTCATACTTCCATTACCCCCTTTCTTAGGGCTTTCTATCCTCTACCGCTAGTTCAGAGTATTCCTGTTCCCCTCCCTCATTCTTTCACAACTCCCACCTTGCCTGCTGGTGTGCTGACAGGTGACTCAAGACTGGGCCCAGGCATGGTGGAATTGCTTTCACACATAGGCCCCTGCCCTGGAATCTCTACGTCACACAGATGTGTCTTCCTGTAAGTGGCCACTACTGCCCCTACAGTAAGAAAGAAGGAATATTTAGTGCTGGTGTTCTAGAAGCTTGCTTACTCCTCCCGAGGAGATAGTTTATAGGCTAGGAACTGAAGTAGGAACACCCCTAAATCCTTAGGTCAAGGAAATAAGAGTTGAGAAACAATTCTGGAGAATCTAAGTTTAGGTAGAAGAGCATGGGAAGAGGCAGGCTAAAGGGTTATAAAGTCTCACCTTTGCTGTTCAGCAGCACGTGACAATTGTAGATTTTCTGAGTCTGCTCCCAGTCTTGGCCACGCTCATGGAAACCACCCAAGGACAGCCAGAGTCCACATTCCCTGGGTGGAAGGGACACTGACAACTCTTTACTGACTTCTCAAGGCTCTACCCTCATATCTGGCAATCCAGGGACACTGTCCAACTAAGATTCTACCTCTCCCTCGCTCTTTCCCTGATACCTGGCAAGCCGGGTGTATTCTTCCAAAAGTCTCCCACCCAGTGGTTCAGACAGGCGTAGCGTCTCTGCAGGGTCGCGTGCAATGAAGTCAAATGCCTCAGGCAGGAAAGCCAGGCAGGCACCCAGTCTGGCAGCCTCTCGAACCAGCTCAGCACATGTTTTAAAGTTCTGTTGCTTGTCTGGCGTCGATGTTACCTGGCACACAGCCACCAAGGGCAGTTTGCAGGAGGAAGAGGGGAGAGCCATGGCTCTGGGCCTGTAAATAGCATAGGCAGGATTCTCAGATTTCATAACACGGGGAAACATAAATTTAATGCTAAGGGGTTCAAGTGGAGAGGTAGGAAAGCTGGACTTCCTTTTGATTATCCTCTTACAGGGCACGTTGATCCAGGGCTAGTAGGGCTCACCAATCAAATGTGTGGATAGTTGACACTCCTGTGTCTCCCACTATCCATTTAACAAACTGAGCATCTAAGTGCCAGGCACTGAGGACACAACAAAACGTGTTACCTGGGCTGAGCACAAGGTACTGAAAGTCGAGGTATCCGGAGTCCGGGACACAGAAGGGACAGGAATCTGTGAGGAGGCCTGGTGATGAAGCCCAGCCTGAAGAAGGTGAGAAATGAAAACACCAACCCCTTCCTCAAGCAATAAATTTCCAGGATTCTCTGACTTCTCTCTTTATACTGTGAGCCTGAATCAGGGCCCTGCCAGTAAAACCCTTCTAATCTTCAAAATGCTCTTTACTGTATAAGAAATTATGTACTAAGGGACAAGATCATACAGTGGGAAGATGGAGGAAGGGGCTCTGCTCGCCGCCTGAAGAGTTCAACTTCCAATGATCTCACATTAAACTAAAGCCCCTTTCCTTTGACAAACGTTTCCGCAGTCCAAAAGTCATCTCCGGGAACTATCCTTGGTTTTCCCAAGACTCTCTTCTTGACTGTGCACTTGCGCAGTTTTACTGACTCGAAGCTTATTTCCCCTTTCCCCAGAATCTCTCAGGGGAAAGTTCGCCCTCCCTCGTGTCCAACCCCTCCATGGTGGGCAAGGGGCAAAGGAACCCAAGCCCCAAGCCGCGACCCGCCCTCCACCCTCCCGCCGCCCGCTCCAGTTGGCCCATCCCTCCCCGCCACGGGCAGCATCTCTGTTGCACAAGTTAAAGCACCGCAGGTGGGATTCACTGCGGTCGACGCACAGAGAGTAGGTCCTACATGAAGATATGGCCAAAACCATTAGCAGGATCGGATCCGGAGACCGGCCTGGAGCCAGAAGCGCCGCGGCGAGTGGGCGGTAACTCGCAGGCCGGACGTGACGCAAGGCGGGGGCTGAGCTGCGCCGGCCGGAAACCCAGCAGGCGGCGAAGATGGCGGAGAACAGCGGTCGCGCCGGCAAGAGCAGCGGGAGCGGCGCGGGCAAGGGGGCGGTGTCCGCAGAGCAGGTGAGGAGTGGCTAACGCGAAGGAGGGTGCCCACTTGCGTCTGGAATACTGGCGAGAAGGGGGCGCCTGTGGCTTGTGCAGCCCTTTACTCCAGTAGCACATGTGCGTGGCACCTAGAGAGGGAAGGGTCCCCGGAAAAGCTAGCCGAGCCCCTTCGGAGAGGTAGACGGGTGGGTGGGTGAGAGCCACGCCTCCCTGGGGTGTTGGGTGAGCCTCAGCAAGGGGAAAGCCCTGACATGCAAGGTCTGGGAAGATGCACAAGTCTGAGGGAAGATGGTTTGCTGCTTTCTCTCTCTCTCCTCAGCCCCTCCAAACAGGTTATGGCTGGGCAAGACAGCTCGAAACTAACCCCAGAGGATTAGTTAACAGGCTGGCTGTGTAGTCTGTTACGTGATCCTGAACCCACGTTGACAATCGCCGTCACGCTGCAGAGCCACGTGACTCTCATACTCGAACAGCCTAGTGTTCTATATACTATTTTGATTCGAGAGTTCATTACTAAATCGAATTTCTTTAGAGACCAGAAATCCCTTTCTAATCCGAGTTTGCATTTTCCCCAGTGGCTAGCATCGAGAAGCGTTTGATAAGTTAATCAGAAAACCCTTTGTTCCTTGGGAACCGTGTTTTGCTAAGTGGAAAAATAGGATTGGGAGGAAATCTACACAATAGAAATGAAAACAGGTAACAGCTGTTTTTTTATTATTATTATTTTTCGAGACGGAGTCTCGCTCTGTCGCCCAGGCTGGAGTGCATGCAGTGGCACGATCTCGCCTTACTGCAAACTACGCCTCCCGGTTCAATCTATTCTTCTGCCTCAGCCTCCCGAGTAGCTGGGACTACAGGCGCGCGCCACCACACCCGGCGAATTTTTGTATTTTTAGTAGAGACGGGGTTTCACCATATTGGCCAGGCTGGTCTCGAACTCTTGACCTAGTGATCCGCCCACCTCGGCCTCCCAAAATACTGGGATTACAGATGTAAGCCACCGCTCCCGGCCTACAGCTGTCTTGATTATAGGTTAAGTTTTTGTTGAACAATTAATACAGGCAGATGTATCAGCATAAAGATTTTTATTTTTTTTTTTTATTTTCTGAGACAGAGTCTCGCTCTGTCATCCAGGCTGGAGTACAGTTGCGGAATGTCGGCTCACCACAGCCTCCACCTCCTGGGTTCAAGCAATTCTGCCTTAGCCTCTCGAGTATCTGGGATTACAGGCCTGCACCACCACGCCCAGTTAATTTTTGTAGAGGCAGGATATCACCATGTTGCCCATGCTGGTCTCGAAGAGCATAGTCTGGTGGGATAAATAAGGAAGCAAAATGCTCATATGAGGCAGAAGATAAGTGTCCTAAGAGAAGTATAAAGTGCTATGGAATATAGTTTCTGACTTGAGGTGGGGGAAGGGAAAAGGAACCTAATACTTTTTAATACTTTTTTGTTGTTGTTGAGACGGAGTCTCTGTTGCCCAGGCTGGAGTGCAGTGGCGTGATGTCGACACACTGCAGCCTTTGCCTCCCAGATTCAAGCGATTCTCATGCCTCAGCCTCCCGAGTAGCTGGGATTACAGGTGCACCACCACACCTGGCTAATCGTTGTATTTTTAGTAGAGACGGGGTTTCACCATGTTGGACAGACTGATCTCGAACTCCTGACCTCAAGTGATCTGCCTGCCTTGGCCTCCCAGAGTGGTGGGATTACAGGCGTGAGTCACAATACTTTTTTTTTTTTTTTTCTGAGACGGAGTCTCGCTGTGTCGCCCAGGCTGGAGTGCAGTGGCACGGTCTCAGCTCACTGCAAGCTCCACCTCCCGGGTTCATGCCATTCTCCCGCCTCAGCCTCCGAGTAGCTGGGACTACAGGCGCCCGCCACCACGCCCGGCTAGTTTTTTGTATTTTTAGTAGAGACGGGGTTTCACCATGTTAGCCAGGATGGTCTCGATCTCCTGACCTCGTGATCCACCCACCTCGGCCTCCCAAAGTGCTGGGATTACAGGCTTGAGCCACTGCGCCCAGCCAATACTTTTTTTTTTTTTTTAGAGTCAGAGTTTCACTTCGTTGCTCAGGCTGAGTGCAGTGGTATGATGATAGCCTGCTGCAGCCTCAAAATCCCTGGGTGATCAAGCCATCCTCCTGACTCAGCCTTCTGAGTAACTGGGACTATAGGAATAAGCCATTTTGAATGGCTAATTAAAAAAAATTTTTTTTGATAGAGATGGGGTGGGGGGGTCTCACTTTGTTGGTTGGGCTGATCTCGAACTCCTGGCCTCAGGTGATCCACCTACCTTGGTCTCCTAAAGTGTTGGGATTGCAGGTATGAGCCACCTTGTGTGGCTCCCCCTAATACTTTTTAAGGCTGCCATGGGCCAAGCAGTCTACTGGGTACAGCAATACAGATATAGTAGTTCCCCCTTATCTGAGGGGGACATATTCCAAGACCCCAGTAGATGCTTGAAACCTGGAATAGTATTGAACTCTGTTTTTTCTCATACCTATGATAAAGTCTAATTTATATAATAGGTACAGTAACTAATAAAATAGAACAATTATAACAATATAATAAAGGTTACATGAATGTGGTCTCTCTTTTTCAAAATATTTTATTATACTGTAGTCACCCTTCTTGTGATGATGTGAGATGATAAACTGCCTTCCTGATGAGGTAAGGTGAATGACAGCATTGTGATATAGCCTTAGGCCACTATTGATAAGTCAGAAGGAGAATCATCTGCTGTAGATGATCTTGGATCATTGAGCCATGATAATGTTGAGCAGGAGATGTTGATGACTAAAGGGCAGGTAGCATATACAGCATGGATAGGCTGGGCAAAAGGATGATTCACATCCTGAGCGGGATGGCTCGAGATTTCATCACGCAATTGACAACAGTGTGCAACTTAAAACTTATGAATTGTTGGCCAGGTGCCGTGGCTCACGCCTGTAATCCTAGCACTTTGGGATACCGAGGTGGGTGGATCATCTGAGGTCAGGAGTTCAAGACCAGCTTGGCCAACATGGCGAAACCCCATCGCTACTAAAAATACAAAAATTAGCCAGGTGTGGTGGTGGGCACCTGTAATCCTAGCTACCCAAGAGGCTGAGGCAGGGAGAATCGCTTGAATCCGGGAGGCGGAGGTTACAGTGAGCGAAGATTGCGCCATTGCATTCCAGCCTGGGCAACAGAGTGAGACTCTGTCTCAAAAAACAAACAAAAAGTATGAATTGTTTATTTCTGGAATTTTCCATTTATTTTCAGACATTGGATAACTCTGGATAATGAGAGACTATTGTAAATGAAATAGACTTTGTCTTCAAATTGCTTTACTCACAGACTTATTTGAGAAAAGACAAACCAAACATTAAAGATTTATAGTGTGCTGCACAATCCGTTCATTATGGCAGCTAAAGGAGAGACTCCTAACTAATCACGAGGTTGTAGGATTGTGGGGGTAGGGGCTGGAAAAGGGAAGCTGTGGTATAGTAGGGTGGCTAAGAGCATTCTTAATGCGCTAGGGTCAGACCTAAGTTTGAATTTCATTTCTACTATTTACTATTTATATATGACCTCCCATGAGTTACATCTTGGCCTCCCCCATCTGTAGAAACATAACAGTACCTACCTTGTCTCTGAATTTAGAGTATTAGGCAAGACAATGCATGCAAAGTGTTTTGCACAGTGATTAGAATATAGTATGTGTTTAGTAAATGCTAGTTGGCTTTTGTTTTCTAGAGGAGAAAATCCTTCAGCTCAATTCTGAAGGATGAGAGAAGTTAGTCAAGCAAAGAAGGAAGTGGAAGATTTTCTAGGTAGAGGGAATAATGTGTTCCAAAACACTAAGGCATGAAACTGCCTGGCATGTTTGGGATGCAGGTGGGGCTTACTGTTTGAGATGGATTACAGAACTTGAATATGGAGAAAAGGGGATAAAAGAGGAATATAAGATGTCTCTCAGGTTTCTGTCTTTGGTGGATAATGGTGCCATAGGGAATGTAGGAAGACAGACAATTTGGAGGGAAATAAAAGTTTATTTTAGGATTTTGAGTTTAGTTTTCTTGTGGGACAACCAGGTTAAACATTCAGTAGACACTTTGATTTTTAAATCTTGAGATACAGAAAGAAATCTGAGTTGGAGATACAGATTTGAGAATTGAGTTTATGGATGATAAAGCCATGGTTATGTATGAAAATGATCACTTTCCATAGTTTGTACAGAAAGTGAAAAAATAAGTAGAACAAGAGTGGAACCACTGTTTTAGGGGAGCTAAAGAGAAGCTCTTAGACTTCCCTCAGGAAACTGAGGAATTGTAATAATTGAGTTTTGAGGCTGTTCCTTGATTAACATTCTCTTGCCTTTGTTTATTCTGGAGAGAACACTGGGTAAAACATTGCAAGATTTATCACTGCTGCAAATTTGAGCCACGTATGTCCCTTACAAACAAGATGGAAGAAAATAACACATTGTGTTAGACACTTAACTTGTTTTACCTTCTGTTGCTGATTGAGACAGAGTCTCATTCTGTTGCCCAGGCTGGAGTGCAGTGGTGTGATCACAACTCACTGCAGCCTCAACCTCCCAAGGCTCAGGTGATTCTTGTACCTCAGCCTCCCAAGTTACTGGGACTACAAGCATGTGCTACCCTGCCCAGCTTACTTTTGTATTTCTTGTAGAGATGGAGTTTTGCCATGTTGCCCAGGCTGGTCTTGAACTCCTGGGCTCAAGCAGTCCACCTGCCTTGGCCTCCCAAAGTGCTAGGACTATAGGCATGAGCTGAGTCACCGCTCAGGCTTACCTTATATTATTTAATTACTGCCATTTGAAGTAGGTTGTATTGTCCTCCATTTATAGGTGAGGACATTTTAATTTCAGAGGTTTTAGT